ATAATAATAATAATAATAATAATAATAATAATAATAATAATAAATTTTTATACTTTTATACTATATTAATTATTACCCCAGCAGACCATAGAACGCTCAAAAAACATTCTCAGATTCCCAGGAAGCATACATGCAAGCAGCTGATTAAGCGCTCAAACACTAACAAACTGACAAGATCTTTCACTGTCTGTAACTGGTAGCCATTCCCACCTGGGTGAAATGAGGAACATTCGTGTGAAGTGCCTTTCCCAAGGACACAGCGTCCTACTAGAACTAAAAGTAAAATCCCGGGCATATTTGGTCGCTTTTAAGCACAAGGGGGCTATCCCGAAAAATGCTGTTTTGAGAAAATCGAAGGTAAACTTTGTGCCCCTTGTTCAAATTCTTTAAAAGACGAGGAGAGTTTTCTCTACTATAACCGAACAAATAATCACACCAATGAAACCAAACTTCTCCCATGGGTGGGGCAACGCCCACTTTTGGTGTAGGTCAAGATTTCAGGAAATCCCCGAAATCTGGGTTAGCCATCTTTTCCTTTAAAAGCGACTATACATATGACTGATTTTTGTTGCAATTGTAGTAAAACTCTGACTAAAGCTGAAGTCTCTGAAGTACTGCGTGATCAAAGATTCAAGAGCAGTTCCTAGTTTTGTCTTTGTTTTTTTATCAAAATATAATCTGTAATTTTCACTCTTATTTTTCCATTTCAGAATGATGCAATGTCTCAGTATGAAGACAGCATGGCCAACCATTTGACCAAAATTTTACAATGTGAAGATCACCAAGTGGTCATATCATCAGCAAAGTAAGTTTTTAGTTTCCCTGTTAATTTTTTTAAAAATATTTTAAAATACCAGGCGTCAAGAAGGAAAAAAAACCGACATGCTTAAAGGGCAATAACCCGGTCATTTTTAAATCTTAATTTCAACAAAATATTGAACACATGGAATTCAACGGCGGGGGGGGGGGGGGGGGGGGAGACATCATATCATATTTAATTTTGTCAATGCAAAGAAAATGGACTGAAGTGTTAAAAAAATATCAAGTTAGAAAATTTTTTAACCAAACTTGGGTGAAAGACAAAACTTGTTCTATTTAAAACAGTCACCGCTGTGGGTTGAAGAGAACAAGTTTATATACAAAATTGTTCTAGCCAAGACAAGCTCACGGGAAATGGTGGCTATTTAAGTTGTATGCTCCGGGTGTTGATTATTTCTTTCTATACAGGTACTAGCTCCAACTTGCCTCTGAAATTTTTTATTAATCCTGTGGCATGTTTCTAGGTCGATTGTTTGGACCTGCTATTCAAAATTGATTTTCAACTGTTTGATTTTTGTGTGGGTTGTTTCCGTAGACTGTGTCTGTTGAAAAACCCCAAAGGAAAAGGGGTTCCTTCTAAGTCGGGGGAATGCAATGAACATTCGTAATTTGTAAGCTTTCAGCTAAGAAGGTGTTCCCCCAAATTTTCTTGGTGGGTGGTTGGCGGGTGCCCTGGTGTAGTTTGCTCCTTCTTTCCTTTCAAACATCTTTCGTCCTGATCTCTCCTCCTTTTTTATGTTTGTTTCTCTCTTGTTACGCCTCTAATCTTCTGCATTTATATGACCTTATCGTGTTGCAAGTGCCGGAAAACTCTTACTAAACCTAAACTTAAACTTTCTTAGCACGGTGAGACACCCGTCTGATGAGACTATCGGGGTTTTAATGTTCTCGTCCTGAATCCAGAACAAACAAATCTCGCAAATGTCCCTGAGCACTTTTAAGAAATTTTGCGTTCTAATTTTGCCAATATTGGTTGAACATTTTTTAACTTTATGTTTCTTTAACATATAAATTTGATTTGTTTTTCATATTTACAAACTTGCTGACCCCTTAGTTGAGTTTTATTTGAAATTATGTTGAAATTGATTCAGAAATGTGGTTGGTGGGTGCTCTGATGTGGTTAGCTCCTTCTTTCCTATCAAATATCCATCGTCCTTATCTCTCCTCCTTCTCTTTAATATTTGTAACTCTCTTGTAACACATCTAATCTTCGGCACTTACATGACCTTATAGTGTTTCAAGTACTGTGAAACTCTTACTAAAACTAAGAGATGACCAGGGTATTGCCCTTTTGGTGAGTCCTCTTTTTTCCCGCCGCCCTGTACATCACAAACTGTTCAGAGACTGTTGATCTATTAGGTACATCTGCGGTTTCCACTCCCTGTGGGGCCAAGTGGGGGTGGGGTGGTGGGGGGGATTAGCCTTGACAACAGGCACGAAGAATGATTTTGAACTTATTTTAAAAATTTACGACCTCAACTAGATCTAAATGTGGGTGGTTGCCAGGTGCTCTGGTGTGGTTCGCTTGTTCTTTCCTATCAAACATCTATCGTCCTTATCTCCTCTCCTTCTATTTTGTGTTTGTTACTCTCTTACTAACCTACCCTTTAGGGGGAATGTTTTTGTCCTATATTTCCTTACGACCTGGCTGATATCCAAAAAAAATTAATGTTGTGATGCTGTTCCCCCCACCCACTCCCCATCTTTCCCCTATCCTCCCCATCTTCCCCCCACCCTCCCCATCTTCCCCCTCT